TAAAGGTTTATGGCGACCCGGGTACGTCACCTCCACGCATCCCCTCCTACTCCGACGTAAGCTAGTGGACTGAGGCATTGCTTCCAAGTAAACAAAACACGTAACATCTGGACCTCTGCCTCAGGGCATGAAACAGATCACCCCCAATTGGACAGGCGTGTAAGCCCAGAGAGCGCGCCCAAATCTCTATAGATGACAATGTTGACAGATAAACAATACGAAATACGTTACGATCGATACGGTTCCGTTTCGCTGACAATCTTTAAGTAGCGACAGTTGTGAATAGACGTACAAGACGGGTTCCGAAAAACACACTAAATTTGACATGATCGTCTTCCTTTTTAGGGCCCTGAGTCCCTAAATTGGTAAAATCGATCGGCTACAAGGAAATCGACCGATTGAATGTTGTAGTCACGATTGTAAATACAGCCTGTTAGGCTCAAAATAAATCTTAAAGACAATGTGGCTATGAAGACAAATCGCACAGGGTGTTTAGACGGCGCACAGAACACGAAAGAGTGAACCAACTTTTGGTCTCAATGAGCCGTAGCTTTGCATATGTAACTTGTAAGATGTGGTAGTGGTGATAGATGCTATTCAAGAAAGTATAAAAATTGAAGTTAAAAAATAAAAACAAAACGGGCGGCCTTCACCACCGCAGAGAAATCAATGGAGATGGGCGGCACAATTGGTTGATTACAGGCTCTGACCAGCACATGAAACTGCTCTACGACTGCACCATTCGCTCAGCCTACTAGTAAATATTACAGTGGTTGAAAATAACTCTGGACTGAGAGGTTGTTAACGTGTGAATAATAAAAGGTTTCTGCTACAAACTGAATGAAATTCGGCCTGCACCGATCTTCAAAGGTGGCTCGGCTGAGAGAATATGAACCTTCATAATAAATGCAACCTGCTAGGCTCATTACAGAACCGATAATGAGATATTCACGAAGTAGAAATAGCAGAGAGAGGAAAGAAAAAAGAGAAAGACTTTTCGAAATGGGGAGCAAAGCGTAAGAAATTTCGCATAAAAAACAATCCTCTACAGCTCTCGTAGGACAACAAGTCAGTAGCACTGTCGGGGAGTGTGACGATATTGAAAACAGCACTGTCGAATAGTGTGGCGAAAACAAGTATTTTTAAAGTAGCCATTTCCTCCTTGAAGATTTTGTGCTCCATCGCAAACGTCGCGACGCCACCGCCTCTTTGCATGTATTGTCTCGTTCTAGCGCTTGAATTCACTAACGACACGTCCTGATCACAAAGAAGCCGCTGCATTCATAGCAGTTGGCACCTTTCCAGCTCTTTACTACTCATTTTCGAATCCTTATTATTTTTTGTTATTTCTATTGTGTCTTGTCTATTTTCGGGTTTTTTGCATTTCCATTCAATGTATATAGATTTACTTCTAAGCAGTTAGCCTGTTTGCGTTCCCAAAAAATCTATTCAAAGTCGCTTTTTGGAAGTAGTTTGATGGCCCGGATTTGTTCACTTGATGAAGTGTTTCTTGTGAAAATTTTCCATAGCATGAGCTCTATTGTGGAAAAACTCGTTATATAAAAAAATTCCTTAATGAAAAAATTTTTGTATGAGTCGAATTCAGCCATTCTCATAATTAATTCATGCTTTTATGACGGTCATCGCTTAGTTTATAATCTAAGGTAATGGTAGACCAGTCCGTAGAGGAGATGGATGTCAACTCCTCCGATCCCCAACCTGCACCAAAAATGAAGATCTCTTTTGGTGTTAAGAGAGTTGCACCAGTGAAACTTCAGGATAGCACACCTGCAATAGTTGACGGTAAGTGGTTTTATGTTTTTCACTGTTTCATTCCGTTTTCACCTTTTCACCGTCTGGAACCTTCTGAATGTTTATTTTTCGATTTTTCTTTCAATTCATTATGTTAGCATTTTTCTCTATTAGTAGTTAGTAGTGAGCCAGGATTGAATTATACGTGGCGGTTTTTCGGTCGTGATTGTCGGAAAAGTTACGCAGTGATAAAATTGTAGATACTTTTTGCTCGGTAAAATTCTCCCTCATGAGAACAAAAAATGGGGAAAAGCGAACCATCGTGGTGAAGTCTCTAATCATGAAGAAGATGCGAATCTCATTTGAGTACACTTTAAATTACTTTAAATTTTGTAAGAAGGCAAAATCTAATATCTAGGGTGAATATGAAAGCAAACGTTATGAGCTTTCGAGAAGACCAGTGTGTACACATCCTCGTTCATTTTGATGTCGTGATAATTTGTAAAACATAATTACTTTAAAAAGTCGACTAAATTACATATAAGCTTTTATCCTTGATTATAAGTAAAGGTGCGTCTACATGGTTAACTTCTTTCTTTGCCTTTTTGCTTTTTACAGAAATAAGAACTTATCAATGAGATGAATTTAATCAGTTTACATTTCAGTGAGTGTTGACAGCGATGAGGAGAGAGAGCATGATGAAGAAGAGAGGAGGAATAAGAAACGCAAACTTACTCACTTCGAAGATGGAGACGCTCCGTAAGTCGAGAAACATTTTCTTCGAATTTCGTCCTTGTTTTACACTTCACCGCTGATGCGCTTCACCTAATTGATTTCCGTCATTATTCGACTTTCCTTCCTTGCTTTTAAATGACTATTTTAGAGATGATGAGGACAGTAAGAAAAAAGCAGTTGCTGTGATTCCTCTAGTTCAAGAGCGAGACTGGCGTGTAGCCAAGCTTTTGGCGCTGCAGAAGGAAGGCAAACTCACTGATGAAGATCGAGCAAAATTAGCAATTCTCACTGAAGACCAGCCATTTGAGGGATCAAATGTATGTCCTACATGTTCTTACATTGGCTTACTAACGCAATACTATCTTTTCTTTCAATGCGTTACAGGGTACTGCTACAACCGACGCTATAGTTGTAGAAGAAGAGGCTAAAGTTGTTGAAGACGCCGATTATGGAGCGGTGGGTACAGAGTATTACAAGTTTAATGTTGTAGCAGATGTTTTGCCACGTTTCCGAAGCACACTACTCTCCGACAACCTGTCCAGGTTACCGAAAACAACCTTATGGGTGCTATTCATTGATTGTTACAGGTGCCCATTGAAGAGTACGGACTTGCTATTCTCAGGGGTTGTGGATGGAAGGAAGGTCAAGGTATTGGCCGAAGACCTCAGGTTCGTTATCCCAGAACATTCAGAGCATAAGCCTTCATTTCTTGTTTCTGATTCCATCGAGTGGTGTTCAGGTAGTACCTCTGCGAATACTTCCGCGACGCCCCAATGGACTTGGTCTGGGTGCAGTACCTCAAAAACAGGACAAGAAAGGTGCAAAGGTAACGCTTGATTTGGTTCTTGACCCTCATTTCTCACTGATTCCTATTTGTTCTAGAATGATAAAGATGAGCAATTAGACGAAGTTATAAAGAAGGATTCCTTGATACGAATAACAACTGGTCGATTTAAGGGGCATTATGGCAAGGTAAGCTTCACTTCTCGTACAGAGTTTCTTCCAACTTTGCATTTCATTCTATGAAGCTCGTTTCTAAATATGTTTGCTAAGATTTGCTTTCATTACAACTATTTACTCAAAACTTTTCGATGCGTCCAGAGTCCTGTACCTTTAGAGTAACGGATTGTGTCAATATCGCTGTATTTCAGGTGGAGTCCAGAGACGACGACAATAATTGTCTGTTCGTGCGGTTAGCTGTAGGTGGACAACAAGTGAAGGTAGTTACGATGTTCACAAAGCTATTCCAAAGAACTGAGACGGAATAGTGGGAAGGTTTCCGTTACGATACTACTGTACTCAAATTGGTTATTTTACTTATTTGGAGCTGAACTGCAAAATGAATTGAATGAAACCAGGTAGCCGGTGCTCAGTTTCAGAGGAATGGCTTTGTATGGGATAACAATAGTGTTTTCTTGTGATTTTTATTTCGCTGGATTTCCAGGTGAGCTTGTTCGCCATACAACAAGTTTCTAAAAAAGAGTATGATCGGGATAGCAAGTGTATAAGTAAGTTACATAGGCTGAACTACTGGCTGATACTGTTCAAACTAATTGACTGCTTATTAAGTTCTGTTCAGATAAAGATGATTATGATAAGGAACGAGAAAAAATCGAAAAACGAAACAGTGAAGCCGTACGTGATGGTCGGAAAAGGGATGACCGAAAAGATCGTGAAGAACGTTCAAGGGATAAGTATCGGGAAAAGGATGCGGGCCACGATAGGAAAGCTGAGGTGAGCGAGCTACTCGTCTTTTTTGGTTTAGCCCCACTGTTTTGCTTTTGCTTACTATTAATGGTTCCATTTCTTTTCTATTTCTTGATCGTTCCGATTTTTAGAAAGAAGAATTATGGGTTCGTACCGATTTACTGGTCCGGTTTATTGACGAGAATTATAAAAAAGGCAAATACTTCAAAGAAAAGATGCGGGTAGTAGATGTGGCTTCGCGAAAGGATATTTCGTTAGAAGACTCGCATGGAAAAATGCATTACGGTAGGTCTTTGAAGGGAAACGGTGATGACATGGAGCAATTTCAGATGGACCTATCGAATTTCAGGAATTCGTCAGTCATCGTTAGAGACGGTTTTACCCCGGTTAGAAAAATCGCGTGTTATGATTGTACGAGGTAAACATAAGGGACATACGGCGACGATGGAAGAGAAAGACAAAAAGCGCTGTCTGGTTGTCGCACGGTTATTGAGGTCCAACGAGGTGACTTTTTGGATTCATCCCAGCTGAAGATTACTACATTAGTTGTTTATAACATTTATTGATTGCTTTTCAATTGCAGATTATAACTGTCGACTTCGACGATGTCTGTCAGCATCAGCCCAAGGAAGAGGATGATGATGATGACTACTGAATAAGCCTGTACAAAAGACTAGATACACAACCTCACCTACCGTTCAGGAAGCAGCGAACCTTCTAGACGAAAGTTCGACATTTGTGTGTTGTCTGTGGACGTCTGCCCAGTAAATATAATGATTTCTGATCTGATGTGATGTGACTACTATAAAGTTCTGAAGAGCTGTTTGTGACATTACAGAGGAGACTTTCAGGCAATTTCTTGGCGAGACCTTTTATTTCTACCAGTAGATGTTACCGTAGAATGCCCTAGAAAACAATAAGCAAGACATTCCATTTATGAATAATTCTTACTACAATCAGTAATTCTGATACCAAAAGCTCAGAAGAGTAATTTAGGAGGGGAGGGGGTTGGTCATAGAATGGAATAAAGAGGACTTGCACTTTGAAAAGAGTCTAATGGACGGAGCATTCATTTATATGGTGATGCTTAAGTTGAAAATTCATCATTTTGTAAGAAACAAAAGATTGAAAGAGGCCTGACCAGCAACTTCGTCTTTCAGCCGTTCTAGCCTCAGTACGCTGATTTTTGATTTTACCCGGTTCAGCCAACTTGTCTTAGTGATGAAAAGGGTCGAATGATCTAAATGAGCCTGTTTTTGTGGTCTAGAGAAAACTAGTCCGTCACTCTAAATTCTACGGTCACCTCTGCTCACATAATAGCCCCATACCTAATTTTAGTGGCTCTCAATGTTACCGTAATCCTGTTGAATGGATACACACAGACTCATAAATAGTAGCCATTTTTGGGGGCGCCATTGTTAGCAGCGCACGACGTAGATTTGCGTGGGTGGGCACCGAGGGAGTGAATCGCCGTCGACGGCGGCGCTACGTTCTAAACTAGGAATCAGGTCAAGAGCCCTCACGGATAGCGGATGCATGTATAAATATAAGCGGATTGAGCAGAAACAACCAGGTGTTCATTTCCACGGGCGTTGCTACGCTCTCTCTGCTCGTTTTTTTATTATCAGCCATACTATGCCAGTAATTCTTCTTGACCCAGCTGTTTCACAAATCACTCGTTCCGCTCAAAATCGAAGTTTTCTACTGTTGTGGTGGTAGGGGTATGGGTATAGTAGCCTATTGAGGGCAATGGGATGTATATTGTAGCCTCATTCCCCCACCCTGCCTGCCATTGTTCTACAGTCTCTATAAACATGACTATTTTTGACGGAGCTTTTGTACGACCAAGAAGATAGGTGTTTGACTTCTAATAACTCAACATTGTACGGAATACCTTTCAAAAATACTTTTCTCCCCGAGTTACTCAGACCATCTTATTCAAGACGCCTCCGAATAAGCCTAAGGCCTATCCTTGCATGACACACAAGTCAACTGCTTTCAGCATGTTATCGTTGATCCTGGTCTTACTTCTACCGATTCTTGCCAGCTCAAAAATGATTCACCTCACAGTACGAGAAAACTTCACACAACCCTGTCCGAATGGTAAGTTCAGTCAAAGCGATGAATGTCAAAAGAGCAGAAAGAACTGGTCTGAAAGTTTGCTTGAAACTGTAGGTAAAAACTTAATAGACTTCAATACTCAATAGACTTTTAGTTACAGGTTGACTACTCATTGAAATGAGGGAAAACAAATCGCGAGCCGCTACTTACTACCTAAATCAGGCCTAGCTCTATTTACGGAAAAGAGGGGATTCCAAAGAACAGTCTTCGTTAGTGCCTACTGCACGTCTTTCGGGCACATAAAGATTTTAGAGGGTTTATCGGTGAGAAGCTGGGAAGCTACTCTTCAAAAATCCTAAGGGAAGTCCTACTGCGTGCAAAGGAAACTAATTCTTGTTATACTCCATCAAATACTCTTGCACAGGGCTAAGAATAACGTAGCAGGAGAACGCCGGTAAGCGCTTGAAAAGCCACGTTACTGTCATCCTGGTAAAAGAGTATTTATCATCCCGGCCGAGAAACTTTCTCTGCCTAGACTGCGAGGAGCCCATTTATTCAAGTGATTAAACGAAAAATATACTACTATCGGGAAAGGAGGTATCAAATATGAATAAGATACGATTGGCTGTCTCTAAGGGCCTGTAATAGTCTCGAACCGATTACTGGATAACCCCGAATTGGAGGAGGAAATGTGCAATCGTCGAAATCCTGCTACTCGCTACACCAGGAATCTCTAGACCTTCTTTTGATCAATTTTCAACGCTTCAAGAAAAAGAAATCAAACTCAAGAAATTAATAAACTGTCCTTACATGGAGGGGATCGATCCTCCACCTATAATATTTGAGAGATTCACCACAGGTACAAAGAAGTCAATATCTCAAACCAGAATCCATTCGATTTTTTTTTTGCCAAAGTTGAAATTTTTCAGTGAGATCTGATCTCATCGATCGTTCATCACTAAGATTCAATTTCGACATGGTTCCGAATGAGAACGAGGACGAGGACGAGGACGAGGAGGGAGGCGACAAGGTTATTCCTTTCAATTTTTTTTCTGAGATTTTCGTCCACTACGCACCAGCTGTACTTTGAAATGAACGCAGCCCGAAACTATCGAAATTTCGCCCAAACTTTATAAACTTCTACTAGCTGGATCTGATAAGGTAGCTTGACTTCAGAGAAGAATAGATTCCATCAAGGTACTACTTTAGGTCCTCCTTACTGATCTAAATGGTGAAACTCGTACGATCTCATTTCCGGGCTGTTACCGGGTCAAGTTATCATTCAGAATGCTACAGCCAATTCAGAATCCGTAAGTTCAACTAGTTGCCAATTATTACTATTACGTGTGCCCATAAGTGTAGGTGCTCTGTTTTCTACAAAAGCTTCCAGGAGTTCCCAAAAATTTTTGATCTCAGTGGGCTAGAAATTCCTATTGTAGAACATTTAACTATGTACCTACCCGTCCATTCTAAACATCCATTTTCAAGCTACTATTCTTTATTTCTGAAAAATATTTAGTCCAAAAGAAAATTTCTTGAAATAATGACCTTGAATACTGACTTCAGATATATCGAGGCTTTCTTACAACTTGGACAAAATATTCCTTGCCGAGCAGAAGGTCGTAGTATGGCATCAAATATTTGTACAAATATTACTCGTGCGAATTGGTGCCCACAAAGTATCAACGACCAGCTACGAGGGATGCTTACCAATAAGGAAACATGGTGAGTACGAATTTCAAGAGACCCTCTTAATAGAAAAGCGCATAGTGAGGCAGAGTCATGCGCGGAGTCTAAACGCACCTCACTCAAACGTGAATTCTGGTCTCTCTTCCGGTTAAGGCGCCGAAATATGCAGCGTATCGATCGGCGCAACGCAGCCGCGCGCGTCAGGACTTGTCGAAAACAAAGCGATCATTGATGATGATTATAACACGATTTCTTGATGAACTTTTTCAAACTATAACGGTGATAGACTTATTTAGCCAGTTCTGTCACCTATGTGATTCGATCAAAGAAGAGGCAAACAAAAGGACTAGTGAGCTGAAGCAGTACGTGTTCAATGAAGGATCAGAGAAATGTGATACTCAACAGGACAGGCAAACATTGTACTTCAAGGTGAGGATTCAGATATTAAGAACGAGCTCATTTCATCCCAAAGAAACCGGCGTTACTAAGAGTTGGACTCCAGTAACAGAAAGTAGCTATCACAGTGACCATCAAAGCAGACGGGATTTTCAATTCTACAGTCTTTCGTGGTTTTAGAAAATTGATTGACCTACCGTACCTTTCGGAATCAGTGAACTTTCCATGTGGACATGATTTTGGCTCGTTCCAGATGTGTACACCATCCCGTAGAGAGATCAATGAACGCCATGGTGATCAACGTGATAAGCTAGAAGAATATTGGAACTATCTGAAACAGGTTAACAAATAATTTTTTTAGAATTTTTCCGATTTAAAAAATTACTAGGTGATTTTTTCACTCGATGTCCACTCAGGGTTTTGATCGGACACCTGCCCATCGTTTCGATCTAAGAATTGATTATAATGTATATAAAGGCCCTTAGGAGTAGTTTAGGAGTAGTTAAGTAGCACTATTCGTATGTGTTCAAGCTTCTCATCTCCTGCCCCTATCTACAAGGTTACTGTAGGAAATTTGGGAAGACTATCCTACCGCCACATTTTCATTTCAGGGTATACTGACAGCTGTTGTCCACGTAATGGACAGATCGGAACTCGATGAAAATCGGCGGGAGCAGTGTCAAAAGATGTGCAATACCTATACGGCCAAGCGCGGAATCAGCTTCTCCTACAGGGTACCGAATTAAAAGCATTTACCAGTTATTTACGAATTCATGAGTGTATTACCAAATCAATAATCGATTTCAGAACACGCTATTGAAATCGATCGAGTCGCTGTGTACGCCTCGTGACAATTATGCTGCATGCGTCTACCATACAGTAAAATTTGATATTAATAGTGATTTTTGATGGCCTCAGAGCCAGGACTGATTAGTTCCCCAATTTTTCACAGAAAATAGGAACGATTAAGACTATAATTCATATTCCTGTAAGTACACAAAGATTCCGTGCAATTTCATGTATGACAGAGAATAAATCTTATTGTGGTGCCGACTAGAACCAGATATCGAAAGTCACTCTGAGTCTCTGCCACTAGCGGCCCCGCCCACACCGAAATTTCAGGCTGAGCAAAAATTTCATTATGAAAACCAGCATTGAGGCCGACTTTCTGCCCAAATCAGCATTTTATACTGTTGAGACTTCGGCTAATGATTATGGATAAAGATGTGAATGTGCATGGAAAAGTAGGGACTGCTGGACGAAGTCTTATATCAAGGATGCGCCATGCATCTTAATACTTTTGGTATCGAAGAAGTTGTAGGCCCAGTGACCCCCTTGAATGGGACAACGGACGATGCAACTCAATATTTTGATAAGAGCCCGGTATATATCGCTCAACGTCGAACGAATGAAAGGAACATATGTTTTTGATATGAAATTTTTATCAAAAAATAGAATTTGCTCAACGTTTTCAACAAAAACTCATTCACAAAAATGACACGAGTAAACAAAATATTGAGAATGAGTACAACAATAAAATGAATAAATTCAAACATAGAATCAACGGGTCAGTTCCTACAAGGCCTCTGAACAAACCTAGGCATTCATCTAGACCTTGGCTCGGAAAAAAACAGGGACACAAGTTCTATCTACAAGGAAAAACATCTACTTTCCTACCACTAATCACTAACAGGGAGACGCTCGAATCACTCACACCACCTACGGAAAAAATGTGTTGGAAGCGAGAAGCTATAAAAAACGTTAAAGGTATTAAGTTGAATCTGGAAGTCTTTAATGAAAAATGAAATTTCCTATCGTAAAAAAAAGGCATTGAGGTTAAGGGTTGGTCATACGTAAGAACGGGGAGTTTTCCTGATGAACAAAGGAAAGACTACAGGCATGACACAACAACCCCTACTCCTTCCTCTTCAATTCTTTCCACGGTACTCCTGCCCCTTGCTGAAGGGGAATGGCTATAACAAATGGGCAAACAAATGAGGTAAGGCTGTCGCAACAGTGAGCTCTGCGAAGCTGATATGAAAAAAAAAACACTGGGTTTTAGTTGAGCAGAAAAGCCTCACATAATTGAGGATATGGAAGACAATCGAAGTTACTGAATCATCGTATTATTGGGCCATTTACAATCTCAATTTCGTCATCCAATTGCTATTCATATAGACAAAAAGCGCTCCAGCAGCCAAACGTGACGTGAGCTCCTCTTCTTCAATTCCGTGAGCCCACTCGACCTGAAATTGAATACACTTCAAAATGACTGAACCATTTTGCGCCACAAACTCTGCATTCGGGAGCCTTCCGCAATCGAGCCGCATACTTCATTTTTGTGGGCAAACGCGTTCAAACTTTTAAGGCGCAAAATCTTCCGCGCGACTAGACACTGGTAAATAAGCGAACTTGGTGGGAATTGCGCCATATACCGAACGATGAGCTGCCTCTGAAAGACGGGCAAGAGAAACGGTTTTGTGTAATCGATCCGCCGCACGCGGCTGTCGCGGACCATTTGCCTCGTTTTTAACAGTTCTGGCGTTCTTCATACAGNGGTAAATAAGCGAACTTGGTGGGAATTGCGCCATATACCGAACGATGAGCTGCCTCTGAAAAACGGGCAAGAGAAACGGTTTTGTGTAATCGATCCGCCGTACGCGGCTGTCGCGGACCATTTGCCTCGTTTTTAACAGTTCTGGCGTTCTTCATACAGCTCAAGCGATATGCGATCTTTTCTTTAGACATGGTCCTAATGTTAGTTCCTTTACTCCTGTATTTTTTAATTGCTGCTGCATTCTGCTACGTTCTTTCGTGCGCGGTGTCTCTCTCGCCGCAAGCGGAAATTTCGTTCCGACCGCACCGCACCCGCTACCCCTCAGTTGCTCATAATTATGATCACAACAAAAGTTATGGTGGGATCGGATCGACAGATTATTTTGCCTTACTGTTCTCGTTCAGAGGTCATACATACTAGTATAGTGTCTAGAAGGAGAGCGAGTGATCTCGATAGTGTAGAGCATGGCGCTCAGAAGGCACGCCGCAGTTCATACCACTGCCAAGGTAGTGTTTTTCGCAAGAACTACTCCCAATCAAAGTGGCTAGAAGCCGAAAAATGAAGTTGAAATTCAGTCAAATGGAACTAACCGATCCCCACGTCTCCGCTTGTGCTTTCTGCTCTATTAATGTATGGTGAACTGCTTCCGTAGCGCTTAGATTAAATGTCACCACCGAATACGGTATCAAAACGCTCTTCACCGATTCCACAGCATACTGCATACCCGTCAAGGCCCAAAAATTATATGACATCAGCCATTTTTCCACTTTGCTTGCATCAGCCGGAGCAATTATATCGTAACCTGAATCAAAGACGAATAAAGAAAGCAAAACTTATAAAAAAATGTGGTGACCAGAAATGAGGAATGAAAGAAAGACCGAGAAAGTGTCTGGAATTATACGAAATCATCTCAAAATCTTACCGAATAGGTTCATACACGGTTGAAATGATGTGCCAAGGCCTTTATTGGCATGGTCGATTACTGGTTGCCAGTGCTTCTTTTGATATCTGAAATAAATCGTCAGATAAGCGGTGATGAACTTATTAGATCCTTATAACGGTCCCAATCCCTACTCTGAATAAAACACTTTAAATCAGAAAAAGGTGCTAACAGGTCAAAAAATGGTATTCACTCACTTTTCAAGTTTCTCGCTCTCATTGTTCCAGAAAAGTACTGTATCACCATAGAGATACTCCATAACTTTGGCCGTTAATGATTCTCTGAATCGATTTTCATAAAACTGTGATTATTCAAAGCTGGGGTGGGGTGCCCTCAAATAACTGGACTACTGATCATAACAGATCCTATCAGCTACTGTGGCTCATGGTCGTCAGACCGATCCGAACTTCGGTTGTGGAATCAACGAAATATCTGGCGATCGCTCACACAAATTGGTCAGACGGTATGACCCTCAATTGGAAATGGTGACAATAAAAAGAATGGCTCACTTAGTCATATGAAGTGGATTATCCTGGGCGGTGAACGCCAGTCCGGTTAGTCTCATATGGCCCATGTGAAGGAACTCCTCTTGAGATGACCATTCTTCGGCTATAGCCACCGCTAGCGATTCGGATTCAATCTGCAAGCAACTGGGTATAGTAATAATCCAAAAAATTTTAACAGATTGAAAATGAGTTTTTCTCATACGATTTCTACTACTTATAATAACCACTACAGCATGATCATGTCCTGCCTCCCTTTGTTGACTGGAGTAGCAGCAAAAGGCCCTTAAAAATCAAGACCCAGAGAGATCCTGCTGACATAAAACATCTTGCCTTTTTCAATAGTATAAATGGATAAAACTGGGTGATTATCCCGAGCCTGTTTTGCTACATGAATTAAGCCGCTATAAACATTTTGAACGACCGGATTTAGCTATGTTCGCTGAAATCTTGAATAACAGAAATCAGCCGCCTTTTCGGAAGTGGACACAGTCAGATAGAACAACAGTAATAGTCTTTGAATCATAACATCATTTATCTGCACTTCCGGTAAACAGAAAGATGAAGAACCTCGCTCATCGATGGCAATTTCACACCCCCCAAAACAATCTCACGCCGTGTTTACTCAAGAACACATGCGGCCCCATCACAGTCAGTTCCAGCGAACGACAAAAAGACCTTATCACTGTGTAAACCCCAGCTACACTGCATAATAGCGGTACCGATCGATTGATGAGAAGCCCTTCGACCTTCAATATTTTAATCTGATGACATTACATAACATACTCCTACATTTGATTGGACTCGGACTCTTCATTGTGGTTAGTTTTATTTGCTTTTTTTTCAGTAAGAGACTATTCGAACCCGTTTCGAAAATGGAAAACATCCCCCTCTCCTTGGGACCTACCTCTCTTCCTCATCCCACCTCGAGACTTCGTCTCTATTACAATCAAAATAGTAACTTCTGGTGACCTCTAACCCTTGAAAATGGTCGAATAAAAGCGCAGATCCCGATTTTGAGTTCATATTTAAACTCATGCTTATTGAGAGAGCAGCTGATACAAGCAAAAACTGCAACAGCAAAAGCACCACGAGCAGATGTTCCGGAATAAAGACCTTACTACACCCTAAAGATAGATCTGTGGTCTCGTGATGGTAGAACAGAAACTAAAAAATTTTGATTTCTTATGGAGTTCCACAGGTAAATTGATGGACTAGGTTCCAAAAACCTTTTTCAGCTCCTGGCCCTACTCTGTCTTGTATGCAAAATCGTTGACAAAGCTATCCTTCCTTCAAGAAAGTCTTCTGTGACTTCACGGCGGAGAAACGACTTATCTTGTGCTAATGAAATTCCTCCGCTTACTCCACTTATGGTTCGTGTATTTTCAATTACTTCGTTCATTAGTTAAGTGCTCACGAAGCAACAGCAAGAGTGGAACGTTGCGTCATCTATTTACATTCTACTGCCGCTAACTAGTTAAAAAGCAAGGTGACCTGTTTTGATAACATCCCTCGACCACTGTTTGGTGTAGGATAATCATGAAAAACAAATACAAATCGGAGGTGATCCAGTCCAGCCGAGAGATAAGAATGAAAGAAAAATAACCTATCATAGAAAAAAATGCATGAGTAGATACCTATCCTTGGAAAAAAACGAATTTGTGACCCAGACTACTAATTCAGTAATGAATTTCAATGCAGTGTACATAATTCATATATCAAGTCCTACAAATCAGGTTTTCCTTCCTCTTTCCGCTCCTGAGAGAAGATCCAGAGAATACAGAGAGGAAAACAAGTGTATAAATTATTGAAACAAAGGGGATTTTCCCTAGTTCGTGAACATACTCGCTGCCGCAGCTTTACTCATCATATTTCCTTCGAATTTTTGTGTTTTTCAGGGTTATGACCGCAATTACATAGTCTGACTACTTCACTATGTAATTCGTCTCTGACTGGATACTCGATGGGTTACGGCTTCAACAGCTTTACAGATCTTTCTGCAATGTTATCGACTACCTCATTTCTTTTAATGAAATTTCATTGTTTGAACGAATTAAAGAAACAACGTGTCGCCCTTTTATTGTAATCTACGACTTTACGGCGAAGAAACGAAACGGCTTGAGGAAGTTAGAGAAGAAAGTTTGTTCTTTAATGCAAAAATTAGATCTAATGGACTAGATTGGAAACCAGTTGCGATTTATCGAAATGCAGCCGGAAGCCAAAAAACCCTAATGTGATTAGCCTCAACGCTCATTGATTGTGCAAAATACGTGGAAAATCTTTTGTACAATTCTTGTCATAAAATGAAACTAGAAGCACGATAGGATAAAAGAGTTGAACCTAACGACACTCATGGTGAAAGGATCATCAATCAAGCAATACGCCTTGGACTGACCTTCAGTACGTTACCGCCTTGCGTCTTTAACAAGCGTCCATCCAAAGTTACCATGAATACTTTCTTGTCTGGGGGACCTTCATCGACGACATCAACAACCTGTAATCAGTTCACTAATGAACCTTATGAAGTTTGACTTTCAAAACTATCCTGGTTTTTGTAGGTTCTCAAAAATTCTAGAAGATCGGCAGGGCAGGAAGCGAAAAAGCTACAAGAGTAAGACCATTACTTGTACAGAGGACAAAAACTGCTGGTCATTGAGTAAGGTCGGACAAATATTCGGACAATTCCCACTTCTTGACCGAACTTGACTCGGTCCCGCTCATTCGATTTCTCAACCCAGTTTTCGTAGCCTCTTCTTCCCGCAATTTAGCTCTCATAAGTTACTAAATAGGATGGCAACTGAGTAAATGCGTATTTTCTTAGGTACATCAAACATTTATCTTTCAGGGTGACTACCTGTTTTTCGAAGTGATTTATTTTTATAGACCAGGTTTTTGCGCTTTGTGGTCAATATGAAACTAAACTGTCATATTTTTCCTTGCAAAAAAGGTAATCACATTTGACTGGAAATGCGCAATTGCATAGCCTCCAACCTAATAGAACCTGTGAAGCTAAAGAAATTTCGAAAAATCAAAAAAAAAGAAGTAGTCAGAACCTTGTAAAACCGCCGCCTTTTCGTCAACGCAGAGGCTGACGAAGCAGTGAAACGTCGAGACAGAAACCGTGCAAACATCTTCCTATCCGGCTTACAAAATGAAAATCAAACAATGAACGCAGTCATGCTATCGCAACTAAAGATGATACAGAAAATGCTCCTGACTAAAAAATAGACTACTGTGGCAATACAAATACTTTTATTCATCACCAAATCACTACAATTAACGAGAGTTGTTACAGCATCCACTATACAAGAATCGGTACAGCGCATGCTGAAGGTGAAAAACATGTTAGAATGACCAGTACCCATTTTTTGTACTACCTATAATAACTATTATGAAAGGGCCACCACTATTAGGATTGGCTAGCCACAAATACAATCCTTGACTAGGTTTGACACTAGGGTATCACTTGAGCAAGAACCAGGAGATTTGGAGTTGTACGTATAGAAAGATGATAAAGGGAGACAATTTTATGCGACAGGTTTCATAAAGAAATCACAGAGAAATGGTCCGTGATCATGCACAGCGACCTGTTCATCCACCGTCTTTCTCGTGGTCGCGGTCGCCCAGCATGACAACGGCCTCAGAGTATAAGGCACCAAGATGGGAGCAAATTAATAAGGCACTCCAATCACCTCGAGGTCAGCACAATAAAAAGGCTAATTTAAAAGAAAAAAATCATGTTAACAAAAGCGCATATCAACAAATAAGGAATTAAAAAGGAAAAGCTAAGATCATTCAATTATGTTAAAGTTAACAATGGTATTCCTACGAATACCTAGGCTTTGTGCTGTTCTATTTCGCGCTCCAGCTGGTCCACACTCTTTTCGTCAATGAGAATGAACTGCTTGCGTGGTTTACTGAACATGTACATCTCACCAGCGAAAATGTCAAACCACATTGCGTGCAAATCCACAGTCTTTTTCTCGAGCATCTCCTGTAAATAAAGGTTTAAGCATAGGCCGACATAAAGTCAAAAATCATCTCGCTATTCCGGAAAGTTACCAAAATGCTAAAAATAACCTTGACAAAAACCAGATGAATGGAAAAACCGAAACTTTTTTTCAACCCCGCCCTTCATTCGTTTTTATCTTTTTGAAATACTTCACCATCTCACTATAACAAGAAAAGCCTGGCCGTCACTCAGAGCTCAGCAACTTTAGTCGAAGCTTAGTTTTATTCCCCTATGTGGACATTATTCCTGGAACCTAGCAGCAACTCACAGTTATGAATCCGTGACTAGCCATGTTCTCCAACTGTTGCAGTGTATTAATCTGTGACAATTTGTCCTCGACACCCCATTTATTTTCAGGATCGATGATAGCTTCGAAACTGAAATGGATGTCAAACGAAATGAATGTTATACATAAATGTAAGGAAGAGAAAAATGGAAGAAGAAATTGACACAGAAGAATGTATCACCATGTTCCCTTTGAAGCCGTGACCTACTCACTGTGCTTTACCTAACCAGAAACTCAGATGGACCTAATAAACCCAAAGGATGACTAGACAACTCACGTGTATCCCGGGACTTCCGAAACGAATGTCAAAGGCTTCGCAGTGTTCGCTAAACGTTCCTCTAATTTCTGTAGTGATTCGTAACCATGACGGCGCAGCCAATGGTCCATTGGTGATTGAGGATCAAAACATTTCGGATTTTTGTGGAGATTGTACAGCGTATTGATTGCCTGAAAGTCGAAATAATGAAAGATTACTGAATATTGAAAATTTGAAAAATTAAAGTTCTTTGAACAATAATTCACGACGAATGCCAATCAATCGTAATGCTTTTCAGGGATTTTTTTCCTTGCGTAGTGAATAAATGAGAAGACAGAAAAATCCCATAATAATCACCTTGCAATCCGCATGTCCACAGACAATCACATGATTGATATGACCACGCTTGACAGCTAGTTCTAGAGCTGCTGGCTCGGTGGTCACCGAAACTTCATAGCCGGAAGGTCCTAAATACAACAAAGAACATTCACTCCTTCTGTACAATTTTTATCTGATTGCATTTTACCGTAGTGAGCTGCATGAGGAACCATGTTTCCGGAATTTCGCACAACAAACATGTCTCCAACATTGCACGACGTGAATCTGATGAGAAATACATTTTTCACATATTTCACAGCACATTTTTAATAGTTTTCCGACGACAAATCAAGTGTCTAGCACATGCCGGGTCAAGTGGTTCCGAGGAACGCCTGGGGCGTGGCGAAGGGAGAACTCGGCCGGCCGCTGTTCGACACCACTAACACATCACAATAGCAGACAACATTCACAATAGCTATCTAACTCAATGGCTGGGGTGAAGCTGACTCACTCGTGATCTACTTCAACCTTGAAGTTCTTCCAAATTTGACATCCAAGACATTAAACGGCTGCTCTAGTGTATCTTATTTACTTAATTCTAAAGTCTATATTTACGTATTACCTAATCTTAAGTAAGTCAGTTGTTTTTGTTATCGACGTTAAGGTCGCTTGTTATCGACCTTAACGTCAATAACAAGCGTTCATGCAGATGAAACCCAAGAATAGAACATCGCGCGGCCTCTGCACAAACAATGATTTAGTTCTTCAGGGAGATATAAAGAAAAAGTGCCCTCATCCCAAGAATATTCAGTTCTAATTTCTCTTTTCTTGAATTAGGCTACTGAAGCATGACAAAGCATTGAAAAAGGAAATATGAAAATATCGAAACAAATTCTGCAATTGATAGACGATAAAAAAACAAAACACACAAAGCAGCACCTGGCCGGAAGCATACGTGAGTCCATGCAGGTGAAGAACGCAGCTGTTGGATTCGGGTTGTCTCGAATTTTTTCGAACTGCCTCACCTAACATGCATGAAATGAGAGGAAGAAAACAAAAAAATAGCATGCAAAGCTTTCCCAAAAAATGCAAAAGGAAAATAGTTTAGAAGCATGCTTTACATTCAATAAAATTCAAAAAGATTGCTGATATTTCCGTGGTTCGAGCCACGTCTACATTATGCGACATTTAAGCAAGCGCCCTTAAGCGGTTAACCTCTTGATAAGCAAGAGGAGATGGCAAGGAATGCCGTTGAATTCGTGCAGTGCAGTAGCCAGAGTCTGTGCCAAAGCGCGACGGCCCAGGATTGGAGCAACGAAGTTGAGGGAATCTTGATGTATTCATAGAGCAATGGCGAAATAAAAGCACAGTGTCTAATTCTTCCAAGAACGCAGAAGCTGCGTTTATAGTTTGTGGCGTGTGAGATGCAACACGAACTATAAAGGCACGACATCTGCTCCGCCGTCGCTTCCGCTTCGAATGAGCAACGCTTACGGCAGTTGATACAGTGTCTGCTCCATTACCTAAAGATAAAATGCGAGTAAGGTGCGCTTTCCTTCGTTCTATTCTTCTATTCGTATCCGCCGGGTCACTTACCAAGGAATGACAGCCATCGATTGATTAGCCTGCAATTCTTTTGATCCTCTGATACGCTTCCGTGGGGCCATGGCCATGTGGTTGAGGGAAGAGGAGGAGTAGGAAGGGCTTTGCCTGCACTATCTCATCATCGATCGTGATCAGACGACAAATGACGGAGCAGAAGCAAGGAGATTCAGTGCAGTGAGGTTACAACGTTGTATTGACGAGAAGCAACAGACGAAAGTAGAAAACCAGTTCGCGCCGATCCTACCAGCGCCGAAAGGGATATCTCACATGGATAACGATGTTTATAACACCCAAGCTATCAATGATCATTCGACAATCGAAAGGAAAGAAGCAAGACCGGCGATCGCTTGGGCACCTTAAACCATGCCATTAACTACAGTGATATCCACCACCGCAAGCCTACCTCACGGAACGCGACCTCCGCGGCGCGGAAGCGTCGAGATCGCGCACTGTAAACTGCAAATCCTGCCATGCCCTCAATAACCAAATAGTGTGGGCTTAACAAGAGCTTCAATACTCGTTTTGGCTTCTACCTTCAAAATTGATCCTTTTATGCTCTGATTCAAAACTACAACCTGATTGAGACACTGTAGCAAGCGCAATCAGTATCTATTTTCAGAATTCTAGCTCTATGAGTGGCTCGAACAGGCTGAGGTGAGATATGCGAAAGCCTACTATTAGGAGATTGCAATTGCTACATTTCATAAGATATAGAAGGAAAACCTTACCAGATCCGCTCTGACAGTCTCCCGGAATCGGATGACTCCCGAAAGGATCTTCTGCATGCCTGGCATTTCGTCGGCTAAACATGGTAAAAAGGAAGAATTATACTAATTAACTTACTAGAAGGCATGACGAATGTACCGCACCACGAAACGAGAGAGCGAAAATGAGAAGTAATAGTTGTCGGACTTTTTTTTCAAAAAGTGACTTAGTTTACAGCACTCATGAAAAAAACATGACGAAAATATTGGCGGACAGCTCTCTCAGTTCTAGCGAAAAGAAATGACAACCATCGTCTGACATGATGGCTCCAGATTGATAGCGTGTCGGAGAAACCGGTCTACGCAAACACAGCCAACTAATTGCTAAGCTAAAAATCTTGAAAAGGAGAGGTCATCAATAAATTTGAAGACGACGAAAACAAGAAAAAGGAATAGTGTCCTTTTTATGGACTATACACGACAAAAACACTTACGCCCTGATAAGATTTGTTATCAATTTAGATGGGACGAAATGCAGATGGTACCTTGGGTACGAGTCAAGGAAAATCCTAACAAATGATCATCTCACTGGCTACAGTTTGACGCAGGCTTAAATCTGTTCGAAGTAAGTTCAACCGAATCCTAAGACTAAACAGCTGTCGAACAGGTTCGCTGTAATCATCAGAAATTCTTAGTAACCAGAGTACACAGCACTGGCGAAAGTACATTCATCATCCGAGGGTAAGTATTATTGTTTACACTGCCCAAAAAACATCTGCTAAGTTCCTGTTGATGTTTAACTTCCCACTCCAAAGCGCCTCACAACTTATGCTTGTTCACTGTTCACTTAAAAAGGGATTATGTGGGGGAACGGCAAAATCCTTGGTAATCATGAGTAACTATAGGATGATGATCCAATCAAACATAACAGCATGTACTCACCTGTGAAGTGAATATTAGGTTGACGACATTGTTAGGATTTCTCCAAGTACTTCAAATATTTGTCTAAAACGCAGTCTACAATAAATTGGAGGTACCCTTCTTGAGGGTTGGTGTAGAATAGAGCACTGGTGAAGAAGAAAGCGAGAGAATCCGTAAAATTTGTGAAATCTGAGGAAAATCTGTGAAATAGTCTCAAAAGTGATGGGAAAGGAGATTTGCACGATATAATCATGAGAGAAAAGGTATGGAAGAGGTCGTCGAACGAGCTTTTAGCTGTAAAGAGCTAGAGAGAGCCAAAATTACCTTCCCTTTTCGTCATGGGTTACGACTTGTCCGAATTCCCAACATGTAGGATCCTAGTAAACGGTGAGGGTTTCACGACGCCTTAAAAACTCGTTCGTTTTTGGGTGTGGCAGCCAACAAAGCCGAACTTTGGATCCTTATTGTGCGGCATCTAGGCCGTGTTTTGATCCAACAGTGCCCATATGGCATAACGCGGGCCACAGCTTCGTTCTAGTTGAAAATCTCGGGACCCATCTTCTCCTTTGTGTGTGTGCTTTCGAAAGGCAACCACCTTTTTCAGAGTGATTTAATTTCCTAGACCAGGTACCTGGGTATTTTATGGTCAATATCTAATTGAACGAACACTTCTTCGAAAAACAAAATTACTCAGTTTTCAACCCAGTACAACAGATATGTATGAGAGGTACTTACAGCGTGAATCGGAGTTATGTTCATGGTGGAGCGAACAGCCAAGCCGTGTTTGGTTATAAAAACGAACAAGTCGCATTTGTTCGTATACGATAACAAAAGTATATTGGCTAGGAATGCGAATCATAACAATAAGTTCGTACGTTATGTTATAAATGGACATATTTGTAAGACTACATCGCATACATAAACACCTATACTTATTTTTACTTTGTATCAATTCACTTAGTGTGTTGTGAAAATCAGTTTTAGTTGGAACTTTCAATTTTAAGTTAAATACACAATATCGTTACTCTTCTTAAACTTTCCGCCTTTTTTCCTCACTTATTCTGCTTTTCATTCCTTCCTTTACTTTCCAGTTTTCACAATAAAGACGTAAAATGTGTCTTTGCTGCCAATTCGTTCAGAATTTTATAAAATCTACTAAACTTAGAGGTGAAGTTTCTTAGATTTATGTTAGTAAATGAATTCAGAGGAATCTACTTGCTAATATCTGTTTCAAAAAAGTCTCTAATCAAACGCTACCGTACACAACAAGCCAAAGCCCTTTTTTCTGTTGTGAGGATGCCTAACAGTTTACAAAGCAGTAAATGGTAGAATGAACCTTGACCTATGACCTGGAAAGCTCGTTCTATAGGCCAAAACAATTTTGTGGAAAGGAACTGGGTAAAAAAAGAGAGAATTAGGATTGTGTTAACACTTGACATTATTACGGAATCCTAAGCTAATGGGCAGCAAAAGCTTTTAACGTTTTGTTTCCTAGGAACTATAAGGTAAAACTATGAGGTATTCAAGCTAAAAATGAAAGTAATCAACAACGATCTGAAGGAAAAATAGGCAGACCTTCAACAAAAACAGCGACCACGAAGGTTATACGAACGCAACAGCTGATCACTTCTTGAGTTTAACGGTGACATGGTCGACCTAATAGTTCATCGTATCGATTTTCAATCGATCAATCCATCCAGACGAAGAAGAAGTACACGACAACAAAAGTGTCTGCATCGCGACGATAACACCTTATTCAAAAAAAACAGTTTTATCATCGGCCGTCCAGGCAGAACCAAAAAGTCTTTCTTCCAGATTATCTTTACCAAAGTTGAAAACGTAGCTTCTGAAATTCGAAAAATTCGTACATCGTAAAGAAAATTCGAGGTTGGAGGTTCGTAAAGAGTACCGCTGGACATAATTCTTAAAAATTAAAGTTCAATGCTCTCTAGAGCTCTATTGAAGACAGGAAGGTGCTCTGGAATATGGGAGGCAAACCGAATGAGCAACGCTTGGAGCCGGGAAGTGTCTTATGTTTTTATACCTCAAGAAAAGTAAGAGACCGATATTGGGTAGATTAATGAAAGGATCAGTTGAGTTGGATAGACTGTTGGCTGAGGTTTTGATAAAATGAAAAACGATGATGTTTAAACTAATATAACAACTGACTCTTAAACTTGAAAACAACAAAGTCGTCCTCATCTTTCACTCTATTATATCTCAAAGCGATAGAAGATTAGAAGAGGGTTGGAGATGTTGGCGAGAACAGTGCTATAAGTATGCCATGGCTGAGATTTTTGCCAACGTACTAAAAACACACATGACCGAAAAATCGAGACGGTCCATGAAAAGGGTTCTACCCTCGTCCCAGTACAGGTTACAGGAACGTAGTTGAAACTCGCTACCGGCTGCCGTTTGAATTAGTTATCGCGTACGCGCACTTAGTCCCTACTTCAAATTAAAATGAATGCAGTGGACGCAACAGTCAATATTGAAAATTACATCCTGCACCTGCTCAAGGAATAAAAAAAAGAGAGGAGATCATCCCGTCATTGTGCCAGACGTGGTTAAAAAACAAGAACAATTATTGGCAGCGCTGCTTCTCTCCCGCCAGATTTCCAACCTACAGGCAAACTCCTGACCTTTACAGGGCTATAAATAGAGAACAACAGCATTGCTCCTCGACAACTTCTTCGACTACGGTTACTCATGCGATAGTTGGACCTGGCGCCTTGTCGCAGTCGTCTCTCCATCGTCACCTGGCCACCGCTCGGCAGGAACCACTCTGGATCGGTGAGTCACTAGGTGCGACCATAGTAGCCTACGGACCTACCAACCTAATCACCTATTGATCTACTGTAGGTCAGAGGGTCACTATGTTAGTAAGTCACTAGGTTAGTAGGTCACTAGGTTAGTAGGTCACTAGGTCACTAGGTTAGTAGGTCACTAGGTTAGTAGGTCACTAGGTTAGTAGGTCACTAGGTTAGTAGGTCACTAGGTCACTAGGTTAGTAGGTCACTAGGTCACTAGGTTAGTAGGTCACTAGGTTAGTAGGTCACTAGGTCAGTAGGTTAGTAGGTCAGTAGGTCACTAGGTCACTAGGTTAGTAGGTCACTAGGTTAGTAGGTCTTTAG